ATTCAATGCAATCCCTATCAAATTACCAAGGACATTTTTCACAGAATTAGAACAAAAAATTTTACACTTTTTATGGAAACACAAGACCCCAAATAGTGGAAGCAATCTTGAGAAAGATGAACAGAGCTAGAGGAATTAGGCTCCCTGACTTCAGACTATACAACAAAGCTACAGTAATCAAAACAGTATGGTACTGGCCCCAAAACAGAAATATAGGTCATTGGAACTACTGATTTTCTAGAAAGTCCAGAAATAAACCCATGCAGCTATGGCCACCTAATCTATGACAAAGGAGGCAAAAATATACAGTGGAGAAAAGACAGTCTCTTCAATAAGTCGTGCTGGGAAAACTGGACAACTACATATATATTTTTTTATTTTTGTTGCCTGTCCCCTTAGAGGCATTTTTTAATATATGGAGTGCAAATTCATTCTTTTACACATGGATATTTAGTTGTCCCAGCAATGTTTGCTGAAAAGACTATTCTTTCCCTATGAATTTTCTTGGCCTTTTTGTCAATTCATCATAAATGTTAGTGTTTATTTCTGGACTGTCAGTTCTATTCTCTTGATCTGTATATCTGTTCCTGTGCCAGTACCACCCTGTTTTGATTGCTGTAGCTGTGTGATAAGTTTTGAAATCAGAACTTGAGTCCTCCAGCTTTGTTCATCATTTTCCAGATTGGTTTGGCTACAGTGGGTCCCTTGAATTTCTGTATGAACTTTGGGATCTGCTTGTCAAGTTTTGCAAAGAAAAAATGCCAGTTGGGGGCTTCCCTGGTGGCGCAGTGGTTGAGAGTCCATCTGCCGATGCAGGGGACACGGGTTTGTGCCCTGGTCCGGGAAGATCCCACATGCCGTGGAGTGCCTGGGCCCGTGAGCCATGGCCGTTGAGCCTGCACGTCTCCGCAGCGGGAGAGGCCACAACAGTGAGAGGCCCACATACCGCAAAAAAAAAAAAAAAAAAAGAAAAGCCGGTTGGCATTTTGTTAGGAATTGCCTTGAATCTGTAGATCAATATGGGAATATTGCCATCTTAACAATATTAAGTCTTCCTATCCATTGGGCCAGTTTTCCATTTATTCTGATCTTCTGTAATTTCAGTAATGTTTTGTGGTGTACTAGTTTTATTTATTTATTTATTTAGATAAATATATTCTTAAGTATTTTATTCTTATGCTGTTGTGAATGGAATTGTTCTATTTCATTTTTGGATTGTTCACTGTGTATGGAAATGCAGTTGATTTTTGTCTGTTGAGCTCACATCCTAAACTTTAATGAACTTGCTTATTAGTCCTAGTTGGTTTTTTATGATTTCCTTGCTATTTTCTGTGCAGAAGATCATGTCATCTGCAAATAGAGATACTTCTTCCTTTCCTTTTTGGATTTCTTTAAGTTGCTTTCTAGATTGCCCTGGCTAGAACCTCCAGATGATAAGAGGAAGTATGGACATACTTGTGTTGGTCTTATCCTAAGGAAAAAGCATCTGATCTTTCACTATTTAGTATAATGTTAGCTGTGCATGTTTTGTAAATGCCATTCATCTGTTTGAGGAAGTCCCTTTCATTTATAGTTTACTGAGTGATTTTATCATTAAAGAGTGTTGAATTTTTTAAAAAAGTGTTGGATTTTGTTGAGTTAAATAGTAGCTTTTAACATGTGATACATTGTTGGGATATAAGATAAGTTTTTACGGCTTATCTGGAAAAGGTTATATGAAAATACTAAAATTTATTTGCCAAATACCAAAGCTATAAGAATTTTTTAAATGGAAAAGTTATTTGAAAGCTGTTTATAATTATTATAAAGCTTGAAAGAGGTGATGGAAGGCTGTAGGGTTTGGAGTGTTCCAAAGAATTGTAAGATACAGATTATTGGAAAGGAGGAAGAAATGTCTTTTGGGATGAATATAAATCTAATCATGCCCTGCTTTAAGAGGCTGGACTAAGTTTATGATTCTCAGTCATTGGAGTATTTATTTCCAATTGGAATATTTGTTTCCCAGTGATATGTCAGGCAGTGTCAGGGTAATAAGAAGCCATGGAATAAATATCACATTATTAAAGTGTTTTTTGGTCCAGTGGTGTTTAATTAGTTTGTTGGCTTTTTAAAAATATAAACATTTTACTTTGAAGTAATTGTAGATTCTCATAAAGTAGTAAGAAATAATATAGAAAGATTGCTTTTCCCCTTTACCTAGTTTCCAACAATGATGACGTCTTGCAAATCTGTAACAATATATCACAACCAGGATAATGACATTGATACAGTCAGGCTACTTAATGTTTACACCACAGCAAGGGTCCCTTATGTTGCCCTGTAATAGCTACATCCACTTCTCTCTTACTCCCATTGCTTTCTTAACCCCTGGCAACCATTAATCTAGTTTCTATTCCTATAATTTTGCCATTTTAAGACTCGTATAGATGAAATCATACAGTGTGCAGTCATTTAGTATTGGCTTTTTTTCACTCAGCATAATTCTCTGCAGAATATTCAATATGAACAGTCTGTTCATTTTTATTGATGTGTAGTATTCTATGGTATGGATGTACTACAATTTGTTTAAATATGTACCTGTTGAATGACAACTTGGTAGTTTTCTACTTGTTCGCTATTACAAATAAACCTGCTATAGACATTCCTCTGCAGGTTTTTGACGAACATAGGTCTTTATTACTATTGCTGGGTCATATGGTAATTGTATGTTTTAAATTCTTGAGAACTTCCACACCATTTGTACTGTTTGACGTTTGTACCATTTTACATTCCCACCGGTAATGTGTGAGTGATCTCATTACTCCACAGCCACACCAGCATTTGATGTTGTCATTATTTTTTTTTAATTTATTTATTCTATTTTTATTATTTATGTTTTGGCTGCGTTGGGTCTTCGTTGCTGCACGGTCTTTCTCTAGTTGCAGCGAGCAGGGGCTACTCTTCGTTGTGGTGTGTGGGCTTCTCATTGTGGTGGCTTCTCTTGTTGCAGAGCGCGGGCTCTAGGCTCATGGGCTCTAGAGCACAGGCTCAGTAGTTGTGGCTCATGGGCTCTAGAGCACAGGCTCAGTAGTTGTGGCTCACAGGCTCTAGAGCACAGGCTCAGTAGTTGTGTTGCACGGGCTTAGTTGCTCCATGGCATGTGGGATCTTCCCAGACCAGGGCTGAAACCCGTGTCCCCTGCATTGGCAGGCGGATTCTTAATCACTGCGCCACCAGGGAAGTCCTGTCGTTATTTTTTATTTTAGCCATTCTCTGATAGGTGTGTTGTGATATTTCATTGTGGTTTTAATTTCCATTTCCTTAATGATTAATGGTGTTGAACATCTTTCCATGCCCTTATTTCCCATCTCTGTCCTGTTCAGTGAAATGTATATGTTTTTGCCCCTTTTGGGGGACTGGATTGTTTTTAAATTTTTTTTTTTTTTTACTCCTCAATTTTGAGAGTTCTTTGTAAGTTTTTTATTGGATATGAGATTTGCAAATCTTTTCTTCCAGTCTGCAGCTGGGAGAGAGAGAGGCACCTCATTATTGTTAAGTGGGAATGAAAGCTGTCTCCCCATGTCGTCTCTGCTGACATCACAGGGAGGGGTAGCTCATTACTAGCCATCAGGGGTGAAAATAGTTCTGGGATCTTGCTTGACCATCTCTAATTCCACATTGGCCTGGATGTTGGGGTTCCTTATTAGAGTTTTGAAAGGATAGATCTCAAGCTCCTCACTTGGCTTTTGCTGGTGTGAGTGTGGGTGAGGCCACAGTGTTTTTCTGTGATGTTTGGCTGGAAGAGAGCAGTTATTGTCTAAAAGTTTTGTGTCTTGCTAAACTTTACCTTTGCTTGTTTTTTAGCTAATGAGAGCAGGTTTTTGTTAGAGCTTTTGTGCTGTATGTGCTCTTCTGTGCTCTTTGTTCATGGGTCGCTGTCTTCACCTCCAAGTCTGGGATATTTGAAGTAAAAAGAAAACCCAGGGATCTCACTACCTTGTTACTCCTCAGGTCCCAAGGTCCCTAGCCAGTCTGCCTTTTTCTCTATACCTTTCAGATTCTTTTCAAGTTTGTTGTATATATAATATCCAGGATTTTTAGTTGTGCTTAGCAGGAGGAATGGGGAAAAGTACATCTCCTCCATTATGTGACAAATGGCACCATAATTTAAAATATTTTTATATGAAATCAAATGTGGCACTAAAGTTAAATAGAATGCCAGGTTATAACTTTATAGGTAAAACACCGAAATCTCAAAGAAATGTTATATTTATCAGCACTGATCCTATACCCCAGAAAGAGGTACTAGTTCTTTTTCCTATTGTTAATGGTAAATATTAGGTTGTAGGCCAAGCTTCTGTAACAAAGAGACTCAAATACAGTGGCTCAAATAAGGTAGAACTGTATTTTTCTCTCATATCCAGGGTAGGAAAGAAAGCTCTGCTTCTTGAGGTCTTCTGAGGAACCAAACTGGGTGGGCAGCTGAGCCATCCTTACATTTGGCTTCCCAAGATTGTTCTAGACATCACCATTTTCAGTTGGCAAAGGTAATGGTGATGCTAATGATGGTTGGGGTAGGGAAACATAGAGGTCAGGAACTTGATTTTTTTAAGGACAGGAACCAGAAATTGTATTTACTGCTTTTGCTCACATCCCATTGGCCTACACCTAGTCACATGGTCACATCTGGCTGCAGAAGAAACTGGAAATGTCTCTGCTGGTAGTCATGTGACCAGCAGAAGTTGGGGTAAGGGACCTCTGTTACTAGAACAAAAAAGGTGAGTAGTAGTCTTTGCTTTTGTTACTTCAGTGAAAATTTTTAGAAGAAATTAACTGTGTGGTCTTATTTATCATGAGCCATTTTATTCTATAGTTAGCTGTATTTTTCTTGTTGTGTTCTTACCTGTTTCATTATAAAAGATCAACATTACCTTCATGGTCAGATCTTAGCCTAGATAGGAATCTAATTTTTATATAACTATTTGGACTACGTCAAGTAAGAACTTGTTTATATCTTCTAGGGTTTACAGAGTCCACAGGGGATAGAATGCAAGCCAGAAGCTGTATGTAGTCACATAATTATTGAGAGCCATGAAAAAGGATGTTTCAGGACTCTAACAGCTGAACGGCCACAATTGGACAGCCACCCTTGTGTTTTCAGATCTGCTGAACCCTCAGAAATGATCAGAGGACAACGGAGCCCATCATCATGGACAACCGGGCACATCAACCTTGCCAAGTCACTGGACCAGAACAACTCCCATTTCAAAGTTTGGAATTCATTGCAGTTACAAAGTCATTCCCCATTTCAAAACTTTATAGGTGATGACTTGAAAATTAGCAAGGGTCTTCGAATGCCATTCCGTGAAAAGTTGGACCCTTGGCTGTCAGAATTAGTAGAACCTGCTTGTATGCCACCTGAAGAAATGGATTGTCAGTCGTCATCACAAATGCTGCCCCCAGAACCCATGAAAAAGTTTACTACCTCCATCATTTTCTCATCTCACCGACATTCTAAATGCTTTTCAGATTCCTCTTTTCTTAAGGTTGGTGTTACTGAAGGTAGCCAGTGTACTGGAGCATCTGTGGGGCTAGTTAATTCTCATATCACTGAAGAGCAAAATCCTCCTAGAGATCTAAAAGAGAAAACCTCTTCCCCTTCATCATTTAAAATCATTAGTCAGTCACCAGATAAAGCTGTGACTATTTTAGCAGAAAATAGTAGGCAAAGCCAAAAATTATCTGTTGCACATTCTCACCAAGAAGAAAAACCCTTAGAAAGATCAGATTTTAAAGGCAGTCATTCTAAGCCCAGTACCAGTGCAAATGATAGCAATTTCAAGGAAGTTCATTTTTCTGATAACGATACTCTCATTAGCATGGGCAGACCCAGTTCCACACTAGGAGTAAAAGAGAAGAATGTAACTATAACTCCAGATCTTCCTTCGAACATTTTTCTTGGACAAGAGCTCTTTGAACAAAGCAAAGCCTCACATGCAGATCACCGTGTGAGAAAACACAATTCTCCCCCTCCTCAACATCAGGATCATGTAGCTGCAAATCTCCCTTGTCGTATTTTTCTTGAAAAACGAGAACTCTTTAAACAAAGCAAGACCCAACATAAAGATAATCAGTTGAGAGAAAACCACTCTCCCCTTCCTCAAAGTCAGGATTATATAGCTTCAGACCTTCCTTCTCGCATTTTTCTTGAACAACGTCAGCTCTTTGAACAAAGCAAAGCCCCAGATGTAGATCACCACATGGGAGAACACCATTCTTCCTTTCCTCAAGATCAGGATTATATAGTAGAAAAGAATAATCAACATGAGCCTAAATTACACATTTCTGATATGATAAATGTTGAAGCCAAATTCAGTGATGTGGCCTCCCCATCAGCCCCAAATCAATGTACAGTAGTAACATCTGCATCGACTCCACCTTCAAATAGAAAAGCACTTTCTTGTGTTCGTATAACTCTTTGTCCCAAGACTCCTTCCAAGTTGGATAGTGGAACCTTAGATAAAAGATTTCATTCATTGGATCCTGCCTCTAAAACAAGGATGAATAGTGAGTTTAACTCTGACCTACAGACTATATCTTCAGAATCATTGGAACCAACCTCCACATTATTGACCAGTAAACCTGTAGCACAGGATCAAGAATCTTTAGATTTTCTAGGACCTAAATCTTCACCGGACTTCCAAGTCGTACAGCCTCCTCTTCCAGATAGTAATATTATTTCCCAGGACTTGAAAACCATACCTTTTCAGAATAGCCAGATAGTAACCTCAAGGCAAACACAAGTGAACATTTCAGATTTGGAAGGATATTCCAATCCAGAAGGGACTCCGGTATCTGCAGTTCGGTGAGTCTCATTGTGATTACAAGCAAGCTGATGGAATTTATGATAAAGGGTTTAAAATACTTAAGCAAATGTAAGTTCTTGGGGGAGAGGCAGTATGATTTCTCTTAGGGGAGGTTGTATCTGCCTAAGCTAGAATTCTGTCAAGGAATAAACACCTAACTAAGAGAAAACACCTGAGAGTAATGTATTTATACTCTCAAAGAGCTTTTGGAAAATGACTTGACATCAAGTATTTTAAAACACTGAATTACTCTAAGAAGAATCTTTGATCATTGAGTGGTACAATTTACTAATTCCTTATTTATTACATTGGAAATATGCTGAAGACCAGGCTTTGCTCCCTCTCCCCCTCTCTTTGTTTGCATTTCATGATTCCCCTCAAATATTTAGTACTTAGAATGAAAAAAGTGAAATTTCCTGGCAGACATCACTTCAGCCAAGTTGTCAAGGTTAACATCACCAGTAATGCACGTCAACCTAATGTGGTCCCTGATGTGATGCCTTATTACTTCACAATGATTGTAGGAATGGAAACCCAATTCAGGGATAAATGCATTAGATTTATACTATTCAGATTGATTTTAAGACTGTCATTGATTCAGTTTTACATTAATGAGTCTTTTACCGTATGGCTAAACGAATTACTGTCTGTGTTTAATGTTTCCACCTTACAGTTGAGAAGGTAGTATTTCAGAGTGGAGAGCACTGGCCTTACAAAGAGGGAAAAAATGTGTAATCGACATCCGCATGTGGTAGTCATGGCAGTGAGGGACTTAAATATGTTATCTCATTTAATACTTGTGATAACCCTATGAGGTAGGTGGTGGTATCCTTATTTGCCCTCTGGGAAACTGAGACACTGACATTGCTATCAAGCAAACCTCATTGTCTCAAATAATGCAGCCTGTTCAATCTAAGCAAGAGCTTGTTCACCACATGGTACTGTCTCTCCCGAATCCTAAACCCTACTTAAACTATTCTATTAACTGTCCTCTTGGACAAGTCATTTAATATCTTTGGCACTCATATATGGATGACTGATGGAAGGAAAGGGTTGGAAAGCTTAAAGGTCCATTACAGCTTGAAAAATTAGTGGTTGAGAATTGGATTGGGGCAGGAAAAAACAAGGTCAATCTCTGATTTCAATACTATTATAAATAGTAGAGTGTTATAGAGATCAGTACTGTGTGTGAAAAATGTTTAGAAATTAAAAGATTGACAAGTTTACATACAATACTTAAACTCTTCTCAGTGATAAAATGCCAAGTTATTGGGGCTGAATTCCTTGAATGAGAAGAAAATTATAGATGATTTTAAATATGAACTAATAATAATGCTGTTTGTTCAGAATGTACTAAATGCCAGGCATTGTAGTCAATGTGTATATCACTTTATACTTAGTATAATCATCCGGAGGTAGATATTATTACCTCAATTTATAGATTTTAAAAACCTAATACTTCGAGAAATTAAATGTTTTGCCTAAGATCACATGGCCATTAAGTTTTGGAGGTGGCATTTGAACCTAGGTTTGTCTGACTCCAGAGTCTGTAAATAATTCTAACTGTATATACATATACACACTTATCTGTGTGTGTGCATATATATATGCATAAAACATTTATATATGTATTAAACTTTTTTTTTTGAGATAATTTTAGACTTACAGAGGAGCTGCAAAAAATAGTAGAGTTCCAGTGTAACCTATTACCCTGAAATGTAGCAGCTTAAAACAATAAATATTATCCCAAAGTTTCTGTGGGTCAGAGATCTAGGCATGGCTTAACTGGGTGCTTCTGGCTTAGGGTTTCTCACAAGGTTGCAAACAAGGTATTGACTACAGCTGTGGTCCCATCTCAAGGCTTGACTAAGAGAATGTCCTTCCAAGCTCACTCACACAGTTATTGGCCAGAAATAATCAGTTTCTTCTTTCCATATGGCAGCTATGACAGCAAAGCTTTTCTCAGAGTGAGCAATTGAGACTGCAGGAGAAAGTGCTGAAGACAAAACCCACAGTCATTACTTTGTAACCTAACCTTGGAAGTGAATCTCACCACATCTGCCACATTCTACTAGAAAGAAATGAATCACTATTTCCAGCCAACCCTCAAGGGTTAGGGATTACACAAGTGCATGAATACCAGGAGGCAGAGATCATTGGGGGGATTTTTTTTTTTTTTTTTGCCACACCATGTGGCCTGCGGGATGGGATCTTAGTTCCCCCACCAGGGATCAAACCCTTGCCCCCTGCATTGGGAGCATGGAATCTTAACCACTGGACCACCACGGAAGTCCCATTGGGGGCCTATTTTAGAGGTTGCCAATATACCCTTTGCTAAAGCTTCCCCTTATGTTAACATCTTACCCTAACATCATAACCATAAAATATTTACCAAAGCTAAGAAATTCTCCTTCATATAAAATTATAATTAAATGTATAGACCAATTTGGATTTCACCTGTTTTTTCCACAAATGAAGCTTTTTTGTTTCAGATCCATCCCATAATCTCACCTTGCAGGTAGTTGTTGTGTCCTTAATCTCCAATCTGTGTCAGTTTCTCAGACTTCCCTTGTTTTTCATAACTTTCACACTTTGAAGAGAATTAGTTATTTTGGAGAAAGTCTTTTCCATCTGGCTTTGTCTGATGTTGTCTCAAGATTAGATTGGGGTTATACACTTTCAGTGCATTTCATCAGGGAGCACATTAAGTTGATATGCATGACTAGTGATGTTAACCTTGATCACTTGGCTAAAGTAGTATCTACCAAGATTCTCCACTGTAAACTTAATGTTTTTCCTTTGTAGATACTAATTTTTTTTTTGATACTAAATATTTAAGGGAGGTACTGCTAGACTATGCAAATATCCTGTTTCTGCTTAAACTTTGACCACTAATTTTAAGCATCCTTCAGTGGATCTTGCTTGTAGCAATTATTACTCTGGTATTCTAATGGAGTTTTCATATTTCCTTTATTCCTTCTACATTTATTAATTGGAATTCTTCTGTAAGCAAGGGCTGTTGTTCCTCCCCCATTTATTTATTCCTTTAGTTTTCCATGTACATTAGTATGATCTCAGGGGTATTTATTTCATTCTTTGGATTACAATCCAATACTACTCAAATTGTTTTAGTTTTAGCTATTGAGAACACTTTCATGTTGGCTCCTGTACCTTGCCACTACCCTGAAATCAACTATTTCCCCAAAGAACCCTCGTTTTTTTTTTTTTGTTTTGGAGAATAAGGTTTTTTCCCTAGCTTTATTAGATAAAATTGACATATAACATTGTTTAAGGTATACAGTGCTTTGATTTGATTGCAAGATAATTACCATCATGGCATTAGCTAACACCTCCATCACGTCACATAGGTATCATTACTGTTTTTGTGGTAAGAAAATTTAATACCTACTCGCAACAACTTTCAACTATATAGTACATTATTGTTGACTATCATCACAATGCTGTGCATAGATCCCCAGAACTTATTCATCTTCTAATTGGAAGTTTGTACCCTTTAACCAATATCTCCCCATTTCCCCCACCCTCCAGCCCCTGGTAAACAGCATTCTACTCTGTTTCCACAAGTTTGGCTTTTTTAGGTTCCACATGTAAATGGTGTCATACAGTATATCTCTTTCCCTGTCTGGTTTATTTCACTTAGCATGATGCCCTCAAGCTCCATCTATGTTGTTGTTGTAAATGACAGGATTTCCTTCTCTCTAACAGCTGAATAATATCCCTTTGTGTATATATACACCATGTCTTTTGTTTCATTTCATTTCATTTTATTGTGCTGGGTCTTAGTTGCAGCTCATGGGCTCCTTAGTTGTGGCATGCGAACTCTTAGTTGTGTCATGCATGTGGGATCTAGTTCCCTGACCAGGGATCGAACTCGGGCCCCTTGCATTGGGAGTGTGGAGTCTTAATGACTGCACCACCAGGGAAGTCCCTACGCCATGTCTTCTTTATCCATTTATCCATTGATGGACACAGGATATGGTTGTTTCCATACCATGGCTATTGTAAATAATGCTGCAACAAATATGGGAGTGCAGATACCTGTTTCCATTTCCTTTGGATGTATACCCAGAGATGAGATTGCTGGATTATATGGTAGTTCTATTTTTAATTTTTTAAAGAACCTCCCTACTGTTTTCCATCGTGGCAGCACTAATTTACATTCCCACCAACAGTGCATAAAGGTTCTGTTTTCTCTACATCCCTATCAACACTGGTATTTGTTGTCTTTTTGATAATAGCCTTTTTGACAGGTGTGAGGTGATCTCATTGAGGTTTTGATTTGCATTTCCCTGATAAATAGTGATGTTGAGCACCTTTTCATCTACCTGTTGGTAATTTGTATATCTTCTTTGGAAAAATGTCTATTCAGTTCTAGTTCCTCTGCCCACTTTTAAATCAGATTTTTTTTTGTTATTCAGTTTTATGAGTTCTTTATATATTTTGGATATTAATCACTTATCAGATATATGGTTTGCAGATATTTTCTCCTCTTCTGTAGGTTACCTTTTCATTTTGTTGACTGTTTTACTGTACAGAGAATTTGGGGTTTGATGGAGTCCTACTTACTGATTTTTGCTTTTGTAGCTTGTGCTTTTGGTGTCACATCCAAAAAAATCACTGGTGAGACCAATGTCAAGGAGTTTTCCCCTATGTTTTCTCCTAGGAGCTTACGGTTTCAGGCCTTATGCTTAAGTCTTTAACCCATTTCACATTAATTTGTGAGCGGTAAAAGTAGGAGTCCAATTTCATTTTTTTGGCATGTGGATATCTAGTTTTCCCAGCACCTCTTATTGAAGAGACTATCCTTCCCCTACTGAGTAGTCTTGGCTCCCTTGTAAAATATTAGTTGACTGTATATGTGGGGGGTTATTTATGGGTTCTCTGTTCTGTTCCATTGATCTATGTATCTGTTTTTGTGCCAGCACCATACTGTTTTGATCACTATAGCTTTGTAGTATAGTTTGAAATCAGAAAGTAT